TGTTGGAGTTGTGGTGTTCAAGCTGCAAAAGTAGCAGCAAATGAAAATGAAAGGCTGCACAAAATGGCAGCAAAATGAAGGGAGAGCTTCACCAATAGCACGGTAGCAGCAAAGTGCAGCAAGCTAAAGCTGCAAATGTTGTGGAAATGAGGCTGAAATGAACAGCAAATGAAATGCAAATGCAAATGCAAATGAAAGGCTGCAAATAGCAGCACAGTACAACAACATGGAGCTGCACGAAATGGCAGTAAATCTTTGAATGTAATCTTTTGTTTTAAATGCTTCTTGTATGGGTTAAAATATTAGGTGAGAATTATTTTTTATTATGTTGTTTTTGCTATAAATATAGCAAAATATCAATGATATTTTTGAGTTGAAGTAATATACTTCTTCTCCATTTTCGTTTTATGCTCCTCCTGGTTTTCTCTCCATTTTTTTAGTTGGGTTCTGCTCTTCATCTTCCTACCGATGTTCTCTCCATTTTTTTCTTTGTGAAAAACATGAACAAAAACAAGCTCCCAATCGGTTTCATCGAATTTTGACTTTTTTATTTTTTTGGCCAAGTCTTTAATTTGGTCTATTTGGGTTTTGCAGGATAATTTAGAAACATTTTCATTTTTATCCCAATTAATTTAATTAAAAATAAAATTAAAAAACACATCAATTATGTACTGTTCAGTATATATTATTTCTCATGAATTTAATTATGGTAAGTATGAAAATAATATATTTATAAATATCAAATTAAGTAATAAATATAAAGATTTAAAATTATTTATCTAATATATTTAACTGACTTATTTAATTAGCATATTATCTATACTTATAATTGAAAATTTATATGTAGTTATTATATTTAAAAACTATATGATAACAATAATTTTTAAAAATAAGAATAATAAAATAAAAAAATGTTAAGTATAATTTATTAGTCAAACAAATGATATACATAGCAATAATAATTTGTATAAATAATAAATTTTAAATCAATTATATACCACACATAACAATAATATTTCATACCACACAAACAACAATATTTCATACCACACATTCTCTTTCTCTTAATCAAATAAATAAACATATACTCATAAATTATCTAATTCTTACTAAGTTAAATATTAAATATAAATTTTTTAATATTGAAAAAGACATCAAATCTAAAAATTTAAACCTAACAAAATGTTAAATTAAATATTAAATATAACTGATTCACAACCACAGGAAATATTTATCTCTCTTCCTTTCGCCCTTGAAAATTCCATTCCTCGTCGTTGATCAGGTTCCGGCCCAAATTTCAATAAAACAAAACAAACTCCAAGTGATCTCACTGTTCTCACATGGACCTAGCAGTGGACTGGACCTTTATAGTTTATACCCTAAATTTTGGAGCATTGAATTGAGTATATTTGATACTGTTAAAATTAAATTATTTTTCTTTCTAAATTTTTTAATGGTTAAAGAATTTAATTATTTTTACTAGAAGGAAAACTTGTAATGAATCTTGATA